GCAGGGACCGAATCTGTAGTTTACTTTAGGAAATTAATAAAAAGAATGTTTATATATATATGGGTTCACGTGAGACCAATGGTTTTTTGTGAGACCCCTAAGACCAATTTATGTTTATTGATCAACTTTATAAGCTAATGATCTAATGGTCTAAAGTTGCGCGGTGACAATTTTGTGATTATTGAGAAGTCTCGTGGTAATTTTGTAATTATGAATGTTCAGATTATAGATCTAATACATGAGTTGAGAATTGGTCTTATGGGTCTCACGAAAAACCATTGGTCTCATATGATCCCAAATCTCTCTCTCTCTCTCTCTATATATATATATATATATATATATATATATATATATATATATATATAGGGGGTTCACGTGAGACCAACCTGTTTTTGTGAAACCCGTGAAACCACTTTTTACATTTGAAACTTCACAGCAAAACACTGTGAAGGTAAAAAACCGAACCTTCACAACAAAACACTGTGAAGGTTAACTTCACAACGTTTTGCTGTGAAATTTCAAGTGTAAAAAAGTGGTCTCATAGGTCTCACAAAAACATGCTGGTCTCACATGATCCCAAATCTATAATATATATATATATATATATATATATATATATATATATATATATATATAAAGTTCATTTAGAATCAACTTCTTCTAAAATCATACCAGCACCCACCAAAAGTATTAACATGTACAATTTATAAATCACAGACCTGTATCATATTTTACGCAAAGTCGTTTTACTCTTTTATCAATTTAGCTATACATCATAGATTTGAATACGTGTTGTATTATGTAACATGAATACAAAAAAAAATTTAAACGTTCATTGTACTGAGGAGAAAAAACTAACCGTTACATTAAATATGAACCGAGCAAATTTCATTACATTGTGATTCATTTTGACCTATATAAGAAGATCACTAACTTATAGTTCTATATATTATTGAATGTATGAGTGATAAGACTCTAAATTAGGGTAAAAAAGATGAATAAGTAACATTTTTTTTTCTTAAACTAGTAAAGTGTCTGTGCGATGTCGTGATGTGCATCTTAATTTAAAACCGAGAACTTAAATGTCAATCATGTTTCATTTTTGTTTTCTTTGTCCATCCTGATGGTAGTTGTATACCTGTACAATGTAACGAAGTATAAATTTTGAATAGATGTAAGTAAAAATACCTAATATAGATTTGTATAGATCTGTATACCTGCTTTTTTCAACAATAACCGTTATACATACTTATTAATATACTATAGATACAAAATAGTATAAACTGATACATATTTATGTTATTTTATAATATTATTAAATCCAGAAATATTCAATAATGAGTTCATTTTAAAGATATTGAAGAAAAAAATTAGAATGGTATGATTTATAATAAATAGAGAAACGTATTTTTAATGTATTTTAAATAATCTATGATTATATATTTTTAATATACTAAAGTTGAAAAAATAAAACTTAAGGACATAAAACAAATTAATTCGTAGATATTCATGATTTTAATAGTACGGTTAAATCCAAAAATATTCGAAATTGAGTTGATTTTGAAGGTAGAGACGAGACGATTATAATGGTATAATTTGTAAAAAAAAAAAATGTATTTTAGTGTACTTTATTCTCATACAATTATTTATGTTAATATAATATGTGTGTAAAATGAAAATGAAAAAAATAATAGACATAAAGTGAATTACATAACAAATTATAAAGATATAAAATGTAATTTAAAAATTAAAAATGACTTTTTGAACAACGAAGATTTTATAAATAACTAGCAAGAAGCTAGAAAAACAGATTACATGTAAGAAATAGCAAGAAGGGGTTTTGTAATCAACCTACCCTATTAATATTAAACTTACTACTCTTATTTGTAAACCAGAAGAACGAATAGATTATAATACTATCCCAAAACACCGCTTTCTTCGGCTTAGAAAGCCTAAAAAGAGTCTCATTCCGAAAAGACCAAATAACCCATAAAGCCGTTAGAACTACTGCCTCTAAACAAGCGGACTCCACTTTCGTCAATCATAAATAACCCCACAAACGACTGATTTGCTTCCAAAAATTAGGCCATTTGACAAGAAAAGGACAAATGACTCACCGATTCAATCTCCAAACCACAAACCAGACATAAGGAATGCACGTCAATTCCTCTTTTATCAAGATTTTCTCGAATTGGAATTTTTCAAGCCCAAATGCCAAGCAAATACATTAATCTTGATAGGGATAAGCCGATTCCATTTAGTAGAAGATTGATCTATCACCAAAATTTTGGAGTCTATGTAATTACAAGGGAAAGCGATCGAGAACTCACCCGGACCATCACGAGACCAATCCCATTTATCTCTTTAATCAAAGATCATGATTGTATGTAGAATCTCTCATAAAGCTGACATTTGCGACTCCTTCACCCCCTCTCGGCAATCTACCCAAAATGGATCCCCAACCCCACAGGACCAATCGATCTTAGACCGATGCCGATTTGACACGATCAAGCGTGTATACCCTTTGAAAACTGTACTTTAAGAGAGGAATCTCCAACCAAACATCATCCCAAAAAGAGCGTAATTTAGAAATCAAGAGATGGTGAGAGAGATTGCGAAACTTTAAAATTTATACATTAAACTTATAAAATGATACCTCTTAAAATTTCAAAAATAACCATAACCCGCCTTTTTATAAAGGAGTGTATATATATATCTATACTATCTTATAAAACAAATTTAGCAAAAGTCTTAAAAGTCTTAAATTTTTAAAATAGTAAATGACCAAGATACCATTTATACACTTTTTCACTTTTTCACCCCTCCTCTCCTCACATGCATTTACCCCCGCACATACAATCACCATTTCACAACCGATTTTTTTAAAATTATAATTTTAAATTTACACTTTATAACCCTATAATTAATTAATTTATTTATTTTACGTCATTTACTTTTAAATGTTTCATTTTAAACCTTTAAATCTTTATCGAATTAATATACATAATCGTATATCAATTAAAACATGTTTAAAAAATACATTTTTATTTTAACAAATTACACCATTATAATCGTCTCTTTAATACCTTCGAAATGAGTCCAATATTGAATAGTTTTTGACTTAATTATATTATTATATATTATATATATTGTGAAAAAATATTTTGAATATTTACGATTTATACTTTTATATATATATATATATATATATATATATTGGGGTTAGGCTGTCCAAATTGCACTATATAATATGTTCTGAATTAATATGTTCTTGGGTTTTTTTTTAAATATATATAAATATATACATGTATTAATTCAACCATAATCTGAGTTTCTGGACAAGAAAGAGGGTAAACCGTTGAAATTTCATTTTAAAACTCATCTTTTTTTTGTCTTTTCATGGCTTATGATCTGTTAAATTTGTAGTTTTCTTTATTGGTTTTGAGTGTTTATCTTAAAACTCAAGTTTCTTGGTTCTTTGCTCTTGGTGTAAATCGAACACATTTGTGGAGTCGTTTAAATATATTGGATTTTAAACTGTCATACAATTTTTTTCATCGATAATCTGTAATTGGAACCATAACTCTTATTTATTCAAATTGTATTAATATGTAAAGAACAAGTGTAACTTATATCATCGTTAAATTTTATCTTATAAAATCAGCGGAACTTTAAAATCGTTAAAATTCATGGCTCCCGCCGCATTCCGCGGGTACACAACTAGTGTATATATATATATACATATATATATATGTATATATATATATATATATATATATATATATA